TTACCAATAGAGGAAGAAAATCAGACTGGTGTAGCTTATTTAGTTAAAAACCAAATGAAGAAATAAAAACCATACCTATGCAAATGGTACGTCTAAGTGAAACAGTCCTCTGGGCTTCAGTTGGCTTAGGTAGTATTGTGGTTTTAACACTGCAAATAGAAGATTATATAATTTACACAGAAAAACAGAGATCATAGAAACGAAATCTCAGGACTCTTCCTATTATTATTACTCTTCCTATCCCACAGGGTGACTGCATGGGCCAGTGCACCCGGTTCTGGTAGTTATAGCAAGGTTTTGAGAGTATGGCCCTGAGCCCATAAGATTAAGGTGAGGACACATCATTTTCATTCTTTCCTCCTCAACGTGTGTGGACCCCACATGAAGATCATCTGAAAGTCAGGAAATGATCCCTCCTCTGAAGTCAATCCTGGTGGACCAGATCCAGCCTTTGAGCACTGAAAACTCTGCTATGTAAATCTCTCAGTCTACTTTATTTGACAGTTTAAGAAAACTAAGGAGCTTGATAAGAATTTGATACAGAGACCTGCAGTGGTGGCCCACACCTTTAATCCCGGGACTCGGGAGGCAGAGGCAAGCAGATCTCTGTGAGTTCAAGGCCAGCCTGGTCTACAGAGCAAGTTCCAGAACAGCCTCCAAAACTACACATAGAAACCCTGCCTCAAAAACAAAACAAAAATAAACAAACAAAAAAGAATTAAACAAGTTTGGATGAGATAGTCAATATTTAAAAAGCAGTTTTGTTCCATTTGAGAACATTAAAAAATGCTATGTAGTGTCAACAAAACCATAATATAATTAGGTATAAATACACAAAATATAAGTATAATAATGGCAGAAAATACAATTTTATATCTAAAAATAAATTTAAAAATAGAATTTAGAAAATACCAGCTAAAAGACTTAGTTCAGACAAAAAGGTGACAATTTCCATAAGAGAAAAATAGGAAAGACAATTTTCAAGAGAAATAAGATAGGGGACTTGAGCTTTTATATTATGACTCATTATTAATCTATTCTAATTAGTGTTATGGTAACAGGATCATAGGTAGGCTGATGGCACACACCAGGCAGATCATGCATGTTTTATATGAAGGATTACTCCCCCACCCCCCTTTCTCTCTGGAAGGTGGTTTCAAGACAAGGTTTTTCTGTGTAACTTTGGAGCCTGTACTGGAACTTGCTCTGTAGACCAGGCTGGCCTTGAAATCAAAGAGATTCAACTGCCTCTACCTCCCTAGTGCTGGGATTAAAGGCATGTGATCCCAAGTACTAGGATCACCTTTGCTTGGGTTCTTTTTCTCTTTTAGACTGGATTAATTTCATATAGCCCAGGGTGGCCTTGAACTAACTGATCCATCTGCCTTTGTCCGATTGATGGGATTAAAGGTGTGTGTCAACATGGTGGGGACTCTGTTGCTAAGTGGTGTGGCTAGCTCTGCTTGTTGATCTTCAGGCAAGCTTTATTTGTTATAGTGTAATAAATATCACCACAGCTCAACCTGTTAGGAATCAATTAAATACAAGTAAGACACAATGGGTATTTTACTTCTTTCCTGTGAATTGGCAGAAAGCTTCAAAAATTTCCATAATATAAAACCAGGGAGCCTGCCTTCAGTCCTTCTCAGGTCTCTGCTCCCACAGCTGACTAGGTCCCTCAGGTTCTTCCCTAGATCTGCAATAAGAAACCAGCTACAACGTCTCCCCACCCCCTGAGTGCTTCAGGTGGATCCCACAGATCATCCTCTCTGGCCTCTCTCCTCCCACTTGTTGCTTTGGCCCAGCCCCCAACACTAGCAGGCTTGGCTGTGAACATACCAGCCAAGGGGGGCAACAAAACAGCTAACACACAGCCATCCCACGCTGAAAATTCAGAGAGGAAAGAGAAACCAAGGTACAAAAACAGCCACCCAACAAAGAAAAACCCAGAAGTCAGCAGCTAGTCCTATAATCATCCAAATCCAGATTGTTACAGAATATTCCTTTACACTGTGTGAAGATGTGTCATTGTGAATGATTTAATAAAGGGCTGAGTGACCAATAGTTAGGCAGGAAGAGGTTAGGCAGGACTTCTGGGGACAGAGAGGTCTCTAGAAAGAAGAAAGGTGGAGTCCACCAGCCAGATTCGGAGGAAGCAGGATGGGTAGTAGTAGTACAGAGTAAAGGTAACTGAGCCACGTACAAGAACATAGATTTAGAAATACAGGTTAATTTAAGTTATAAGAACTAGTTAGGAATAAACCTAAGCTAAGGCCTAGCTTTCATAATTAATAAGTCTCATAATTAATAATATGGCCCTGAATATTCCAACATAGATAAAGCACAACAAAAAGACTTTAAAATCAACTATATGAAGATGATAGAGGTCCCTAAAGAGGAAATGAATCCTCTAAAGAAATCCAGGGAAACACAAACAGTTGGAGGAACTGAGTAAATCTCTTAAAGAAAGCCAAGAAAAAGCAGACTAGTAGGTAAAGCCTCAAATAGCTTCACAATAGCCTCAAATAAAATATTTTAAGTTAACTCTAACTCTAATAGGTAATGGAAATGAAGACAGTTCAAGACCAGAAAATGTAAATAGAAGCAATAAAGAAAACACAAACAGGGAATTCTGGGATGAATAATTTAGGAATCCAAATAGGAACTACAGAGGCAAGCTTCATCAATAAAAAAGATGGAAAAGAGAATCTCAGGCATTAAAAATACAATAGAAGAAATGGATATACACCAGTCAAAGAAAATGTTAAATCTAAAAAATCCTGGCACTAAATATCCGGGATATCTGTGACACCGTCAGAAGACCAAACCTAAGACTAATAGGAATAGAGGAAGAAGAAACCCAACTCGAAAACCCAGAAAATATTTTCAACAAAATCATAAGAGAAAAACTTCCTAACTTAATGGAGGAGATAGCTATAGAAGTACAAGCATGCAAAACACCAAATGGATTGGACCAGAAAAGAAAGTCCCCTCACCACACAATAATCAAAGCACTAGCATACAGATCAAAGAAAAAAATATTAAAAGCTGTGAAGGAAAAGAGCAAGTAACATATAAAAGCACACCTGACTTCTTAATGGAGACTCCAGATGCTAGAAATGCCTAGATAGATGTTCTGACGACTCTAAAAGACCACAGATGCCAGCATAGACTACTATATTCAGAAAAATGTTCAATTACCATAGATGGAGAAAATAAGATATTTCATGGCAAAGTCAAATTTAAACAATATCTATCTACAAATCCAACCTTACAGATAGAGCTAGAAGGAAAACTCCAACCTAAGGAGGTGAACTGTACCCATAAAAACACAGGAAATAAATAATCTCTTACTAGCAAAACCAAAATAAGGAAATGTACACACACAAACATGCACCACCACCACCAATAACAACAAAATAACAGTAATCAACAATCATTGCTTATGGATATCTCTTAATATCTTTGGTCTCAATTCCTTAGTAAAAAGACACAGACTAACAGAATGAATGTGAAAATGGAATCCATCCAAGAAAGACAACCTCAACATCAACTTTACCTCAGGGTAAAAGGCAGAAAAAACATCTTCCTAGCAAATTGACCTAAGAAGAAAGTTAGAATAGCCATTATAATATCTAAAAAATAAACTTCAAACCAAAACGAGTCCAAAGAGATTGGGAAGGACTCTACATACTCATCAAAGGAAAAGTCCACCTTGATGACCTCAATATAGTAAAGGAAATTTACTGCAAGTCTGTAACCAACATCAAATTAAATGGAGAGAAATGCAAGGCAATTTCACTAAGATCAGGAACAAGACAAGGCTGTCCACTCTCTCCATATCTATTCAAATATAGTACCTGAAGTCTTAGCTAGAACAATAAAACAACTGAGGGAGATCAAAGGGATACAAATCAGAAAGGAAGAAGTCAAAGTATCTTTATTTGTAGATGATATGATAATATGTAAAAATGACCCTAAAAATTTCACCAGGGAACTCCTACAGCTGATAAATACTTTTATTGAAGTGGCTGATACAAGAGTAACAAACAAAACAAAACAAACAAACAAATAAAAAAAGTAGCCCTCATATATAAAAATGGCAAACAGAATGAGAAAGAAATCAGGAAAACAATACTTTTCACAATAGTCTCAACTAAAATATTTTGAGTTAACTCTAACTCTAATCAAGCAAATGAAAGACATGAATGACAATAAGTACAAGTATTTTAAGAAAGTAACTGAAGAATATATCAGAAGATGGAAAGATGCTCATAGATCAGTAGGATTAACATAATAAAAATGGTCATCCTACCAAAAGCAATCTACAGATTCAATGCAATCCCCATCAAAGTTCCAACAATTCTTTACAGACCTTGAAAGGACAGTTTTAAGTTTCATATGGAACAACAAAAAAAATCGAGGGTAGCTACAACAATCATCTTCCCTACTACAGTACTGTTGTAACAAAAAGGCATGATATGTAATAAAAACAGACACATTGATCAATGGAATTGAATTTAAGACCCAGACGTAAATCTGGGTCTTACTGCTATGGACACCTGATTTTTGATAAAGAAGCCATCAATACACACTAGAATAAAAGACAGGATCTTTCAACAAATGGTGCTGTTCAAACTGGATGTCTGCATGTAGAAGAATGAAAATAGACCCATATTTGTCACCCTGTACAAAACTCAAGTCCAAGTGGATCAAAGACCTCAACATAAAATCAGATACACTGAGCCTGATAGAAAAGAAAGTAGGACATAGCCTTGAACACATGGGCACAGGAGACAACTTTCCAAATATAACACGGAAAACATAGGCACTAAGACCAACAATTAGTAAATGGGACCTCATGAAACGGAAAACCTGTGAGTGAGTATGGCGGTGGGGTCCTGGGCTCTGAAATCCAGCTCCACCTTCCCTGGGTGCGGGGGCAGGCCGGCTTGTGGGGATTTGTTCGGTGCTAACCAGAGGTTTGGCGGTCCCAGGCTATGGCTCCCGAAAAGAAGGGTGGCAAGAAGGGTCGTTCTGCCACCAACGAGGTGGTGACCCGGGAGTACACCATCAACATTCACAAGCGCATCCATGGCGCAGGCTTCAAGAAGCATGCTCCTCAGGCACTCAAAGAAATCCAGAAATTTGCCATGAGGGAGAAGGGGATTCCAGATGTGCGTATTGATACCAGGCTCAATAAAGCTGTCTGGGCCGAAGGAATAAGGAATCTTCCATACAGTATCCGTGCACAGCTGTCTGGGCCGAAGGAATAAGGAATCTTCCATACAGTATCCGTGCACATTTGTTCAAAAAACGTAACGAGGATGAGGACTCACCAAACAAGATTACACATTAGTAACCTAGGTACCTGTTACCACATTCAGAAATCTACAGTCAATGTGGATGAGAACTCTGCTGAATATCAAATAAAGTTGGAGAACTACCTTCAAAAAAATGGAAGAAAGAAAAAATGAAAAACTTCTATAAGGCAAAGGACACTGTCAATAGGACAAAAAGCAAAAAGGCAGCCTATAGAATAAGAAAAGATTTTTTTACCAACTCCGTATCTGATAGAGGACTAATATCCAAAACATACAAAGAACTGAAGAAACTAGATATCAACAAACCAATTAATCTACTTTAGAAAATGGGATACAGGTCTAGACAAAGAATATCCAATAGAGGAATCGAATGGCTGAGAAACAATTAAAGACATGCTCAACATCCTTAGCCACCAGACAAATGCTAATCAAAATTACTTTGGGATTCCATTTTATACCTGCTAGAATGGCTAAGATAAAAAACAAACAAACAAAACAAACAAAACGCAAGTGGCGACTCATGCTGGTGAGGATGTAAAATGGGAACAGTTCTCTATTGCTTCCAAGACTGCAAATATGTAGCTAGTGTGGAAATCAATATGGCAGTTCATCAAAAATTTGGGAATTGTTGTAGTTCAAGATGCAGCTATGACACTCTTGGGCATATTTTCCAAAGACACTTCATCTTACCACAGAGACACTTGCTCAGTTATGTTCACTGAAGCTTTATTCATAATAGTCAGTACCTGGAAATAACCTAGATGTCCCTCAACTGTAAATGAATAAAGAAAATGTGGTGCATTTATACAATTGCTCAGCTGTTAAAGGACAATAACATCATGAGATGTGTGGGCAAATGAATGCAACTAGAAAATAAAAACAAAAAAATACCATCCTGAGTGAAGAAACCCACACCCAGAAAGACAAATATGGTATGTATTCACTTATAAGTGGATATTAATTATTATATAAATGATAACCAAACTACAATCCATAGTTCCAGAGAGGTTAGGTAAAGAGGAGAGCTCTTGGTGGGACACATGGATCTCCCTGGGAAGGGAAAATAGCACAGATTTTCAGCATGCAGGTGGAAACAGGAGGGATCAGGTAGCAGATAGATATGCTAAAGGGATGGAGTGCAGCGAGAGACAGCTGGAATTAGGGGTCATCTGGGAGGTAGTATGGAAACCTAGTGCAGTAGAAACTTCCTGAAATCTATGAGGATGACTCTAGTGAGGACTCCTAGTAATGGAGGATATGGAATCTGAATTGTCATCTTTTGTAGCCAGGCAAAGCTCCCAGTGATGGGACTGGGTTGTTTTCAGTCGGATTGTAGGCCAAGCAGGGATATCTTGGAGATTCTTAAACAACCCAGACTGATTCTAGGATAGAGTGTTCTCTCTGCAAACTGACAGCAGGGTCCCACTGTGGAAGACAACGTCCACATAGCTCAGAGACCTATGGTAAAACCAAGCACAACTGGTCTAAAAGCAAAACAAAAACAAGAAAAAAAATGACATTATTCCTAATGACATTGTGCTATACTCGTAGATGGGTGCCTTGTCTAATTGTCATCAGAGACAGTAGATGCAAAGACCCACAGCCAGACATTGTGCAGAAAGAAAGTCTAAATTAGAGGTCTCCATAAGTTCCCTGTCCTAGGAGTTTACAGAATCCCGCAGAAGAAGAAAGAGGAGGAAAGATTGTAGGAGTCAGGAGGGTTGGAAGACAGCAGAAGAACATGGCCCACTGAATCAGCCAAGCAGGGCACATTTAGGTTCACAGAGACTGAATCGGCAAGCACGGGGCCTGCACTAGTCTGCACAGGGTCCTCTGCGTGTGTGTTATGGCTGTGTACTTAGTGCTTTTGTGGGACTCCTAACAGTAGGAGTGGGTGTGGCTTTTGCTCTTTTCTCTTCTCTTGGGATTCATTTCTTTCTGTTGAGTTGTCTTGTCCAGCCTTAGTGTATTTTGTTTTTGTCAGGTTTGATTGTTGTCTCCTGGAGGCCTGCTCTTTTCTGAAAGGAGATAGAGGGGAAGTGGATCCTGAGGGAGTGAGACAGTGGGGGGAAATTGGGAGGACTGGAGGGAATGGTCGGGATATATTGTGTGAGAGGAGAATCTATTTTCAATAATAAATAAGAGATATGGGGAAATAGCAATAGCTGGTGGTAGAGAGGATGTGGACCAAAGGGAATTCTTGAGCACTTGGATAATCTGAAGTGAGTGGACAGCTTTGGAGAGTGGCTTAGCACAACCTGTGATGTCCTCTAAGGCATACTTCTTTGTGGGACTAACAATGTCTCTTATGCATTTCTTAGAAAATAGCTGTGTCATACATTCAGTGATGCTTTAAAAAACATCATGTTATTGCAAAAAAGCTGTCATAACAAACACCTGGAAGTGTCTAAGGCCAGAAGAATCCAGAGTTCGAACTATCAGTTAACTAGAGTGATGCTTATCAAGAAAGATACATCTTAGAAAGTAATCTTGGGTTAAGAAAAACCCATGACTTGGCAAGGATACATAACAGGATAACAATTATATAAATAGTAAAATCATGTGAAAACAATTTTTGTATGTTATGAACATAATATACTAAGAGGAAAAAGCCCAACACATGGAAATATCAGTACCACCTAGAGGACACTAATACTTGGTTTTCTGGTAGGAGGGGAATGTGGAATTCAAGTGTATCTGTCATGTTTTCTTTCTTACTGAGCATGGTCCATACAAGAAAGCTCATGCACCAGGATTTCTCAAGCAAGGTGGCAAATAGATTTACCTCTTACCTGAGAGCCAGCTTCCTGTTGCCACTCCCATGGGGGGCTCACCTTCGTATTCCCTGCCTTTTCACTCTTATTTGAATTTCTTGTTGCCTGAAGCATTTAGCTTCATATACTTACATGGAAAAAAGAAAAACTAGCTAGCTTATATAATAGCAGAGAAACACCTGAAATAAAATTAAAAAAGAAAGAAACGGGAGACAGAAAACAGGAAGATACATTTGTTTCACAGTTTGGAAGTCTGAAAATATTTCACCATCACCGATTACTTGATAAACAATGAAACGTCCATAAGGGAGTTAACCAGCTACTGATAAATACTGAAATCTAGGAGAAAATGAAAATGGAGTTAGCCTTGCCAGCAACTGAAATTACAACACAGTATGTACAGCATTGTGGCTCAAACATCAGAATGGACAGATGTGAACTAGTAGTTAACTGAAGAATAAAGTAGAACCAAATAATAATTAGGATATAATATGCCTTGCATGACGGAGAATGCAGTCCAGTAGTAAATGCCATTCACTTGATAATGAAAAATGTTAAGTAAAATTCTCATGTCATTCTCTATCCCAAAATACTTTTCACATTTGATTATATATAGGAGCAAGAAACCGTGAAGGTCCCCAAACATAATTATGATACAAGAAACACTTTACCTTCATTTGAAATAATATACTCTTTTGTATCCTTTACATCCTAAAGTTTATACAAGGTCTGTGTCTTGTTTTAGACACCATTATATCTTGAACACAAAGGAAATGCAGAATACATACACGCTAAGCAAGTGGGTGGATGCTATTTGAACAGGAGTCCAGTATTCTTTACTGTACAAAATCCCTTAGCCCATGTGAAGATGGCGAACATGGTTTATGGCAGTCCTCTGTTACAAAGACTAATTTCTCCAAACCACAACCCAGCTTGCAATCAGACAGAAATAGAACTACAATCTAGTGAAGGAGATGCGGAAGAGGAGAGGTGCTTTAAATACATAAAATAAAATAAATTATTGTGAGCAGAAATGACTTTGTTCATAGAACATTTGAGAAACACAAACAATGAATCATTTCATGTATGGAGAAAAGACTAAGTTCTGCTGTTGGTAGGAAACAGATTTCACAAAGTTTTTAGTGTTCACAGCTTTGAATTTAGCATTTCAAAAAGATTGAGATCATTCTACAAAGGAAGGCTAAATGTCTTACTTGAAACTTTTCACCATGAAACACAGTGAAACCATGAAACACATCAAGCAAATCTATATGTGGTGAAAGAGAACTATTCTGTATTCTCAAATTAAAACACCAAGTTGCACAAGCATCATGTCATTTCATAGAAGTCAAATCGCATATGAGCACTCCCATAAATATCTATAAAGCTTAAATTTTTTAATTCCGCGATTGAAAAACATGAATCAACTTTTCCATCATAAGAAAACATTTCAAATGGACTGCCGTTAATACCTACAGAGTATCATATTTTCAGACTGTAAATAATGCCAATAGTTTTCTATGTAATTTTTGATTAGCACAGCATTCATTCTGATTTTACTTTCAATTTAATTTTTCTACTACAATTTATATTGTGCATTTAGTTCATTGAAATCTGTTTCTCCTTTGGTATTTACTGCTTTGGGGCATATTTCTTATTACTTCAAGGATCGTTTTCCAAACGTGTCATTCTCCATTTCATATAGAAAAAATAGGGAGCTACACTCCTCAAATTAAAAAAAAATCAATGATTAAATAACTGTCCATTCTGGTTCAAAGATTATCTTGAAATTTCCATATAGTTTTTCAATTTATTCAACAAATATTTTAATTGAAAAGTAATTTTTTTAACAATGTAATTTGATCTTGGTTTCTTTCTCCTCTTCTCCCAGTTATCTCCACCACCACCACCCTTCCAACTCTAAGCCTACCTTCTCTCTCCTTTTATAAAACAAACCAGCAAATTAAACAAACAAACAAACAAACAAGAATGGGAAAGAAAATCACACACACACACACACACACACACACACACGCATGCACACGCACACACACAAACACAAAATTGGAAACCATAGTATACAAGCAAAGGATCAACAAGGAGAAAAATGTCCCAACAAGGCAATATGAGAAAAAGTCTCCAAAAATACCATTGAGTTCATTTTGTGTTTGCCATTTATTGCTGGGCATAGAGCTTGCCTTCAAGTGTGGTTTATATAGCCACTGAGACTCCATCTGGGGAAAACTAAGTTTTCCTTTGGG